TCAGGTTCTATTGACCTAACTCCGCTAGAGCGTGCGTTACCGTGCAATTCAATTCTTGATTTCTTCCAAGATGACTCAAAAGTACGCTTCACGCTAACTGCAGGCTTGGAGAAAAGGGTGGAACTTATGTCAATAAAAACTGCTTATACAATCCCCCTAGATCTCCAGCCTATTCAGGGTATCGCCAGCATGGTGGGACCAACAAGCATGGCTTGGCGCTTTTATCGCCAAACAGCTTCTGCGTTGAAAGATAATAGCAGTTCTTTACGTAAGCTCTGAGCAAAAGCTTAACTATTGCGCTATCAATGGGAAAAGTGTTCTTCACGATTCCAATCATTTTGCATGAAATGTTATGTTCAGTGTTCGCTTCCTACTTTTGCTAGATAGGAGATAGGAGTTTTTTTTTTGATCTGATGTTCATATCCACAAATATTCACTGCTGATACGACGTCGAAGATATATGCAAAAAACTGCTAGACTAGATATAAGTCATCTAGTCTTATTATTTCCTCTCATCACAAGTTCTACCCGTAGTTATTCAATCGAAAACAGGGTGCCAACGATAGCGGAACTAGCCGTGAGAGTACTGTAATCGCCTGCTGTACGCAATCGCACGGGCGCAGGGTGGGATATAATACGTAACATCAATCGTCACCTCTGCGCGGTGCACACTGCGTACCGCAACGAGACAGTACGACCCACCATGTTTCTAGCTGGCTTTGAGCTTTCTGTAAAACTGAAATTGATCGTTCTACAGGCCGGGCTCGGATGAAGAATGAGAAGACTAATCAATTCATAACTAGCACAGCTCCGAATATTGTACTGAGTCGAGCCATGCATTTCTCTTTCTCCTCAGATAGGTGACGGGTACGCGAAGATGCTCTACATGTATCGTTGGAAAACATTGCGCGCCTTGGAAACCACTCTAATTTTCCTCATGTCATTTTCTTCTTAACATGCAAAATAGGGTAATGTGCTAGGGTATTTATATTGTTCCGCACTAGAACAATCATTGATGTCATTATGCATTGTACTAGTACAGTGAGGGACTCGAAGGGACGAAGTTTACTTGGCACCCTGAGGGAAGAGAGAGTTCTAATTCGTGAGGTAGTTTTCATCATGAATGCTAGACAAGTTCTCCACACCACGGCACCTGTTTTCGGAGTGGGTAGTTATTAATCGCAATCGTAGCACATCACCTATAGAACATAGAAATCTGCATACGGATGTATCCTTTGAGCCCACTGACTGTGCTGAAATGAGACGCCATACTTTAGATATAGGAACGGATACATTCATTCTTTCTGAGCCGATAAAAGTTATTGACTCCATTGAGATAATCCGCTCGACAGGAGTCGTTGCGTTAACCGGATGGTTCTGCGAATCAATTTCTTGAGGCGCTAGTGAGTGTACTCAAAAGGGGCATGCTCACGCTGACTGAGCCTTGGAGAAGAGGGTGAACTTTGAGGGTAATGAAAACTGCTTACACATCCCCCTAGACTCACAGCCTAGTACTAGGGGGACCAGCAGGGGCGGGGAGGAGCGTGATGACTTGGTGCTTTTATTCGCCAACCTTGTGTGGGATTTTACAGCTTCTGCGGTTGTAATTAAAGCATAATCATAATAATGAGGTCTGTTCCACAAATCTTTAACTATTGCGACTATATATGAAAACGATTCCAATCATTTTGCATCAAATAAATATGTTCAGTGTTCGCTTCCACTTTTGCTGCATAGGAGATAGGAATTTTTTATATCCACTACCACAAATATTCACTGCTGACGTCTCGAAGATATATGCAAAAAACTGCTAGGCTAGATATAAGTCATCTAGTCTTATTATTTCCTCTCATCACAAGTTCTACCCGTAGTTATTCAATCGAACACATTGCCACGATAAGCGAACCCAGCCGTGACAGTAATTGTATATTCGCCTCTTGTAACCGCAATCTGCCCACGGGGCGCAGGTGGGACTATATTGTAACATTCGTGGGAGTAGATACGTAATATCGTTAGCGTGAGGGTGTTGCTGCTGTCAGTTTTTGCGCTGGCTAATCAATATGCAATAATAATGAGCATGAATTAGAGGCTGTTGTATTGACTAAGCTTTTAGGTTCCCAAAAAAGAAACGAATAAAGGCGCTATCACAAGATAAGGGGGTATCCTCTAGAACTAAGCGTAGAAGTGAGGTAGAAACCTTGGAAAAAATGATAATTGCTCATGCTTCGTGAAGTTCCCCTTCGCGCGCTGAGGGCTCGATCCTTTGAACAAACAGGGACTTTTTCGCATCTTCTACATGATTGCACACAATGTCCCCCTTATATTGGCGAATAGCGCTGTCACTTTAATTGGATTAACTGGATCTCGAAAAGAAGACACTAATATTTGGAAGCCATGAAGAAAACAAGAAGCGCAGAAGTAATGCATCAGCTAAATCTAATCGGTGAAGTTGAGTTGTAAGTTCTTGACATTCTTTTCGTTATTTAATGCTTGAAACTTTGACAGGTAATTACAAGACTGCACTGTATGTTTGTCGTCTAGCTACTGAAAGCCTTTTGCACAGAATTCTCTTTTGACCTCTTTTCTTGTCCAGACAAATGTACTCCGACGGAGACAGCAGTCCTTCACTTCGCTATCTATGGTTTTCTACGCTCGATAGAAACGAGAACATTTCTATTTGTGAACGTACAAGTTGACTCGTTAAGGCGCGCGAATCTCTTTCCTCATGACTTGGGTGAAGGCTGAACTCATACTACTTTGTTTGTGGAGCGGCATGACAGTTAAGAAGGAGTATGTAAGAAAAACTGACGCGACCCTTTCTACGATAGTTTCCACTTCAATCGTAAAGCTCTATCGTTTCTGTTTCTTTTCGTACGGGATCGTCATGCTATCTTCATGATTTAAATCCACGTTTGACTGGTTCAATCCGCCGATCCTCGTCGCAGTTTTCGCCTGCAATTCTTAACGCAGATTCGCGTGAATCACGTGAATCACGCGAAACCTGCGACAGATCGCAGTCTCTGACACCAGCCTTACTTCATGGCATGGTATCAGTCCTTGTGATGATCTCGGGAATGACTTCTTCCGTTACAATTTATCAATAACAAGTTAGCGTGGCAAACATATTTCAAAGAGTACGTCACTGTTGTTTATATCGGAAGTAACACATGAAGGATTTGTTCATGTGACGTGAACTTGTACTCCCTGTGGTTCCGCCTTGTTCGAACTGCTGTGAAAGTGGCTAGTTAAAATTAGCAAAGGAAAAAATAGCATCATCGAAATGACAGCACAGGGTGTAATTCTCATATACGTGCGTTTTGCAACAAGTTTCGTCTGGTTAACGAGCATTTGTGCATGTTTCTAGTGCTGTTAACACAACGTTTGATTGTTCATTTTATAGCATCAATTATTTTCATCTCCTCACCCTACCAGTCTTTCATTCCATTTCCTTTTCCTAGTCCTTTTGATACCCCATTTTCATTTCATTTACTTTCATTTGTTGTCGTTATGAATTCATCCTTCCTTTAGGCTGGTGTCAGAGTCCGCGAGCAGTCGCGCGACGCATCACAGAAATCACAAGTGCCCCGATCAATACTGCGAGGTGCTCTCCAATCCCGCCGCCATTTCTGCTTGATGGTGATGGCTGGTTCGACTGATGTTCATTGTTTCATATTCAGTGTTTCAAATGTTCATGGGCACTTGCGATTTTTGCAATTCGCGCGAATCGAGATCGCGGACTCTGGCGCCAGCCTTACTCTCTAAAAAATACCTAAGGCGAGGGTTTATACGGCTTGTAACTGGTACTGATCATCTCTATGAAGTGAAAATTGAGGGTAATATGGCTCAGGAGGGGGGGGGGGGCGAGGGCCAGTCTGTGGCATTGCGTCAGGGTCACAGAAACGTTCAGTTTCAAGACTATCCTTAGGAGAGAAGAGGGATTCGGGGTGCGCAAGCAATTTACATGCTCTCCGTAGTTCGTCTCTCTCCGTTAGGCTCAGTCCTAGTGGCTTTCCTGCAGACTGTCCCCCCCCCCCCCTAGCCCCAGAGGCACACTGCGCCAAGAACGGGAAGCATCTTCATATTTATGACCGAATCGTAGTTGTGTAGACGCGGAATGGCAATATTTCTGTGTGTGGGACATGCCCAAAATGGATGAATATCCTGCATCCACCAATCTTTGCATAAGCTGAGCAGCATACGCAGAAATTATTGGGGCCTCCTGGATGCGAAACCACAAAGTTGTTGATTTCTCCCTGTACAAAGTTTATTTTTGTTGCTGTTATCGGGAATCGCTAGACGTAAAATGTGAACTTGAATGAACCTACCTATCATTTCAAGGCGCTCATATAGTTAAGGGAGGGGGATATTGAGGTGAGTAAACCACTCATTGAACATGGGACTGAGCTTTAATGAGGGAAAGTGGTTCTGGGGGAGATTTATGCAACCTTTTTCTGTATGGCGTTTCTTCCTTTTTTGGGCTTAGCCTTAGTGTTACCAACCAGCGCCCGGTTTGTTGGTTTGGTAATGCCCGGTTTTGAATGTCTAAGGCTGGTGTCAGAGTCCGCGATCCGTCGCAGGTTTCGCTGATTTGCGCGATTTGCGCGATTCACGCGACGGGTCACGGAAATCACAAGTGCCCGATCAATACTGCAAGGTGTTCTCCAATCCTGCCGCCACTTCTGCTTGATAGTGATGGCTGAATGACGACTGCTCATGATTCCACTTGTTTCATATTCAGTGTTTCAAATGTTCAAATGGGCACTTGCAATTTTTGCGATCCGTCGCAGGTTTCGCGCAAATCGCGCAAATCGCGTGAATCGCGTGAATCGCGCAAATCGCGAAAATCAGCGAAACCTGCGACGGATCGCGGACTCTGACACCAGCCTAAGGACACTCCATTCAACCAGGACTCTTCATTTAAACATAATTTACACGAATCCATGTCGACATTAGTGTCTGTTGTTATACTCGGATGAGAAAATGTATCAGTTTTAGGTCGTATGCACACGTTGGAGGGGAATGAGTTATGGAAGGAATGCGTTCGATGGTTAGTTGACATGGGAGTGCTCGACCATCGGATAGCGCCTACTAACTCGATGCTGGAATTTGCCACAATGCTGAGGTAAGGTCCTTGAACTGATGTCGTTTCCGCTTACGAGTGAACTCAACTAATGATCCCTGACTTACTTAACGATTGTTGTTTTGCGGAAAAAAGTAGGTCATGCGACAACTCGTTCACACGATTACTGTCGGCCATCAATTTTTAGTGGAAAGTGTTCGAAAGTGGGCACTGCTTGAACTTCGTGAACCTTGTTCTTAAATTTATAAAGCAATTTTCGAATGCATTCGCAGTTTTTTTTTGAAAGAAGAAGGCTATGCTGAGAAAATGATATTCTTGGCATCAGTATTGACCCAGTTATTGTTTTTGCGAGTCCCTAATTCAAACGCTTACAGGGATGGTGTTCTATTGTGTCGTCTATTAAACGAATTATCTCCCAACTGTGTTGAGGAGAAAGAAATTCAAAGGCGTCCTCATATGTCAGAAGTGAGTTTTCCTGTTTTTTTTTCTCGTTTGTTGAAACTTTTTTTGTCTCAAAGTTCATTTTTCTTTCTCACATGTTATGGTCAGAAATCGTATATGTGCTGTAAGAAAGATATTGAAGATGGTTAATTTCAGTTTACTTGTCATAAAAACATATGCCTATTTCTTGGTGCCTGCAAAACTGTTTTTAATCTGAAACAAGATCAAATGTTCGAAGCTTGGGAGCTGTTTCGTTTACAAGACTTCGCGAAAGTGCTATCCGTCCTTTCCATGTTGTCCTACTCTGAGCCTGCATTAGCAAAAAACGTCAGGTATGCTCAGTATCTGCCAATTTCTTTCATTTATTGCTTGATTTCGAGAATGTTCATTTGAGCAAAAACACC